AAACTAAGTCTGTCTAATACTATATGTTCATCTCCAACATGTAGCTTTTCTAAGGATATTTTTGACTGATTTTTTTTTTTTTTTTTCTTAATGTACTCTGACTTTAGAACTTGTGCCCTTTTACTAATGTTTCTATACTATAGTGATAACTTTTTTTATAGTTTCTCAATTGGCTTCTTTTGGAAGGGTAAATTTCATCAAGCAATATAATTAGTATAACAGGTGAATTTCCTCCCCCCACCCCCCCCCCCCCCTTTTATTTTTTTTTTGTGGATTGAGTGAAAGTTTACAGGGCAGATCATCAGTTTTACATTCAACAAATCATTCACCTTGTTTCATTACAATTATTATAATCACCTCCATGTACCATCAGTTAACAGTATTTCTCTGTATTCCCTTTAGTTTTTTTTTTAAAACAAAAAAAATCCACTTGGACATATGTAATCATTTACACCTCTAAAGGGCACATTCTGCAAGTCTGCCTCCTGGTCACCAGCTTTTAGTCCCTCTCTTCCCATGAACATAGATTCCTCAGCCTCTCTTTCTCTCCATGACCCCATCTCTGCCTCCGTCTCTGGTGTCACTGCTTCTAGGGATAAAGTCCTGCTTTCTGCTTGTGCTCTTTCCCCCTTGATGGGCCTGTGGTCCTCCGTTTCTGGACTGTAAGATTAACCACTCCCCTGTTTTTGTTACAAAACTTCTACCTTACAATTGTGACAGTCACAATTAGTCATGATGGCAGTTATTCACTATTGAATTATACGAATCTTATCCCTATCTCTTTTCACCAGACCCACCTAGATAAGATGAAAAGTATTCAGTGGAGACTCTTTCTTCCCCCACCCCCCACTCCTTAACTGTACTCCCTCTTGAAACCTTGTAAGCCAGTCACTTCATGACTTTATCACCCCCTCATTTTAGGTAGCCAATGTCTAAGTTGCCTGCCCCTATCTACCCTGTGTACAGAGGGGATATCAGTGATAACTTGATGTGAAGACTCCTTCCCTCTCTGTTGGTGTTTAGAGGTAACTATCTCCATGAGAATAGGTCAGGTTCATCAAATTGTAGCAATTTACTCTTGTTTACATTACATATCTTGGGTACTGTCTGCAAATTGGGGTGTTCTTGTGCATCTCCCCTCACTTCATATCAGCTGGATTCTTCACTCTCAGCTCTAGACCTTGTCCATGGGATTAAGTGTCCCAGGTCTCACCACACTTTTCAACCAGCCAGCCCTTACTCTTCTCTGTCTCATCTCCAGGTCAGCGGGAGTCAGTGGACTGTGGTTGAACTCAGCCAATTTCTTCATTGCTGCCTTCCCCCTCTTCCACTCACCAGCAGACCAATGTGTTCCCCAGCAAGCTTATATGTTTGTTCATGTGTTCCCTTTGAGCTTCAGTCTTAGAGGGGAATCTGTCCTGAAGGAACTTGATTACTTGCCTTGATGGCTTCCTGGCGAACAGCTTGCTTATTCTTGTAGTAGCTAGTCATACTGCCGTTTATGTTTTGGGTTTTTCCTGATGATCGTTCTTTGAAGATGTATCTTCTGTTGCTCTTGTTGTTCCAGGTTGGTGTGTTTGTCCTTGGCTAATGGGAATGTCCCATCTCATAAGGTTCTGGTTGGTACTCAGAAGTCCACCTAAATTTCTATACTCTGCAAAGGCTTTGCAAGAGGCCTGTTTCACTGGGCAAGTTCTAGAACCCTTTTTTAGGTATTACAATCAGTTATAGGCTAAGATGGTTCCCAACTTTCTTTTCTATCCCACTCAAATGTGTATTTTACAGTAGTAAGAAAGGGAAGCAATACTCATAAGACACTCAAGCATTTTAGTACTATTTACCCTCTTCAAATTATGCCTAGATCCCTGTATCACAGAGCCTTGCTGTTCCAAGGTTGAGCGTGCATCACTATTTACCTCTGTCCCAGTTAGGCCATGCAAACCTGTATCAGTGTTCCCCTATCTGTCTTGTGATTCTGCCTCGCCCCCTCTTGTATTGCCCTCCCAACAACTGAACTAAACCCCCCACCCCAACCTCACTGTTGTGGTTACCTTATATTCCATTAACTCTTCCCTCAATTTAAGATGGTCTATTTTATCCTGTGGCATCCTGGTGTGGCACTTTGGGTTAATGTGCCAGACTGCAAAGCCATTTGAACTGCAAGGTTGGTGGTTCAAGCTCACCAGCTGCTCCTTGAAAACCCTATACAGGGTCGCTATGAGTTGGAACCGACTCGACGGTGCTTAACATTTTATCCTGTAATCTACCTGACCTTCTCACCCCTGGATCTGCGTTCCTCTATGTTTACTTTCTTACACATTGTAATTGTTTTGATCATAGGATCATAGACTGACCGCCTAGAGCCTCTGTTCTTATAGTTTTATTCTGTTCTTGACTCTTCCATTTGTCTATTGAGTTCAGGGTGATGCTGCCACATACATTGTTCTCTGGTTATTATCTGTTCTTGTTGGTTCTCAGTCCACAGAACTTACTTTAGGGTTGGCTTTGGCAAAATCCCTTTAGCTTCTGTTTATCCTGGAATGTTTTGATTACACCAACTGTAATTGATTGACAGCTTTGCTGGGTGCAGGATTCTTGGTTGTCAGTTTTTTTTCTTTCAGGGTTTTATAAATGTCTGCCCATTGTCTTCTTGCCTGCATGGTTTCTGTTGAGAGATCCGAGCTTAATCTGATTTGCTTGCCTTTGTATGTCACTCTTCTCTTATCCCTAGCTGCTTTCAGGATTGTCTCTCGTCTTTGAATTTGGAGAGCTTGATTATCGTATGTCTTGGTGATTGTCCTTTAGGGTCTTCCCGGGGTTTGTTGAGCTTCTTTGAATGCTTATATTTTTGCCTTTCAGGATGTTAGGAAAATTTTCTTCTAGAAGGTCTTCAACTGTATCTTCTGTGGACTTGTGTGATTCTTCCTGTTCCGAAATGCCGATAATTCTTAAGTTTTTCCTCTTCATGTTGTCCAACATGAATCTTAGGCCTTCTTCAGATTTTTTTAATGCTTTTTTTCTGCTTGCTCTTCTATCTTAGTTGTGTTGAGAGATTTATCTTCTAGCTTACTAGTTTTGGCTTCTATCTCTTCAGTTCTACTCCTTTTCCCTTTCAGTGTATTGTCCACCTCTGATATTCTGTTAATCGTTTGGACCTCTTTCTGTATGTTTTGGATTGTTTCCAATGCTGTATCTATCTTATTTGATTATTCCTGTAGAACTTTCTTGACTTCTTCCTTATTTTTCCTCAACTCCTTTATATAGTGTTTGGATACATTTTATAATCATTTTTCTGAATTCCTTCTCAGGCATTTCCAAAACCTGCCCATCTTCCAGTGTGGAATATAGGTTATCCTCCAGCTCATTTGTCTCTATCACTTTATCTCATTTCTGGACATGTGCTGATATGGTCATCTGTTTCTGTATTTTGGGCGTCTTCAGGAATAGCTGTGACCTTAGGACTTAATTGAGTGTGTATTTTGGTATTTTTTATGCTTTCTGATTGCCTCCAGGTAGATGTGATCAGGAGATAGTCTTCCCTTTCATTCTTCTTTCTAAGAAATTTCAAGATGCCACTGTTAGTCATTGTGACATAACTCAGGATTTAATTTTCAGCCTATTTTCTTTTTAGTCTGCCTGTCCCTCTCCACAATCCCCGTTCAGGCCCTTTTCCTAGTGATAAACAGTTGAGGGCCGGCTGTGGCCGTTTTGCACTGCCATTTGATTTTAAGTGGAAACTGTCCCTTTAAATTTTGAGATCTGGGCACATGCATAATAGGACTCTCTGGGCGTGGGGGTGGGGTGTCCAGTCGCTCAGGCACCCCCTCTGGTCACCAGAATGGAGGTGCGCAGAGAGAGACCAATGAACAGATAACAACAGCAACAAAAAAGAATGTCCACACCTTTATCTCTGCGGTTCTCTCAGGTGTCCGTGGCAGCTCTGTTCCTTTCTCACTTGGTCTCACCCAAGAGTATGACTCTGGGTGCAGCTGAGCATCTTTAAATAGAAAGCAATGGATTTCTTTCTCTGCTACCAATTCCCCTAGTTGTAAGTCTTCCAACCTTCTAAATATTTCTTTATATGTGGTTCAGAGTTCTGGCATCATCTTCTGAGCCTGCTTGGTCCCGGTATTCTGTGTTGTTGCTGACAAAGCTCCTCACTACACTTCTACCTGGTCCGCCATCTTGTTTGTTCTCCTGTTAGGTAAATTTTTAAATGCTTTGGCTGTTATGTCAGGCATTTGAGAGGGTTGTAATTCTGGTCTGCTGTCTTTATAAAGCCTACTTTGCTTAGCCTTTCTGCCATTAATTTAAAAGGTTGGAAACTACCACAGGGGACTGTGGCAAAGATAGTATCTGGAAACTACTATTGTTATTAACAAGGTTGGTTAGAAATATGAATGTAGCAGCCAAAAAGTCTCCTAACATTGTATGCTATGATGAAATTTTGACTTAAGCAATTGTATAATCCCTTGTTCTTGGTGATTAAGAGACTAGTAACAGACTTGGTAAGGTTTTTTTCTCTTCAACATAGAAATTGCCAAACACCTACAAAAATACTGAGAGTGCTTATGCCCTCAATGTCTGTGTACAGCCATTTCTTGTTCTTCATCCCTGTTTTTTCCCATTCCCTTCCATTTTGAAGTAAACCCTAGGTCTTATTTCATTTATAAATAGATAACCCTCAATTTTCATATCCGTGTTATAATAAGATGTTGATATTTCTTAGATGTCTTGTGAATCTGCCAGAGATGAGAGGCCAATTCCCTACTAAGCTTAAGTGAAGCTCTTTTGTTATATTATTACATTATGACTATTGAGCAAGGAAGGATAATAGTTCAGTGGATTTAATTTCACTAAAGAAAAGAATGGCAAATTTTACAGTATGTGAAAGCTACTTAAAAATATTTGTGCTAAAGATAACATAATTTTAAACTACCTAATATTTGTTGTAATGAGTTAAATTTATTGATTTTTTGTTCCATTTTCTTGACCTGTAGGAATCTTACGAGGATGGTTGTGAGGATTATCCTACTCTACCAGAATATGTTCAAGACTTCTTGAATCATCTCACAGAGCAGCCTGGCAGTTTTGAAACTGAGATTGAACAGTTTGCAGAGACGCTTAATGGTTGGGTTACAACAGATGATGCTTTGCAAGACCTTGTGGAACTCATCTATCAACAGGTAGGTTGGCTGATAGCACCTGTCCATCTTCAGGTAGTTTCTTTGAAACCCATGAATGATGACTACTCTTTGAGTCAGATAGATATGTGTTCACCTACCTTCACACTTGTAAAATGTTCATAGTTTGTGGGAGCTTTCAACTCTTTTATAAAATTCCTATAGCTAAGGACCAAGCAGAACTAAAAACAGCCTAGAGTGCAAATTCACTATGTAGACAAGGCTTTGCACAGGCAGTTGGAATGTGCTTTGGGAATTAGTGTGGAGGGCTTCATAATTATCATGTGCATTTTGTGTTTGGGGTTTTTTTGGTTTTGGTAGGGAGGTGGCTTTGTTTTACAGGATCTGAAATAATAGACACACACACACAAAAAAGACTATAATTATTTTCTCCTAGGTGATGAATTAGGTAATATTGAAGTAGAAGACAAAAGGATAAAAGGATCATGGGGAATCTTTTTGGCTTTCTAAGTGAGTCTTCTTTAAAAGCCAGACCACAAAGCACCCTGTCTTGATGTTAACATTTCCTTTTGTCTTTACTTTCTTTTGGAGTCCCTAGGTAGTAAAATTTGTTAATATGTTAGGCTATTAGAAGTAAAGGCCTCTTGATGTATCTCCAAAAAATCAGCCATTGAAAAATCCTATAAGTAGAGTTCTCCTGACACAACTTGGTCACCCTGAATTGAAAACGATTCCATAGTCACTTGTTTTATTTTTCACGCTTGCTTTTAAGATTTTCAAGGATTTATGTCTTCATTCCTTGAGAGCCTAAATAAATGGATTGGAAAGCAGTATAAGATACGAAAATGGAAGAATTGTCCTTAATCATGATGTTTTTCTAGTTTCTCCTCCATTTGGTCTTAGCTCTTGAGTAGCCTGCATGGCATCGTTCCTGAAGACTAGGCAGAAGAGTAACCTTACAAGTTACAAGTAACAACTGTTCCTGTGATTGGCCCTAAACTAATTCTTTAATATGTAGTTCTTGTTTGTTGTTAAGTGCTGTTGAGTTAGTAGTAAAGTTTTGACATTCTCTGGTTAATGATATACAGGAATAATAACCACATAGAAGTTTTGTAACAGCCATGTTTGACTGGAATAGGTCAGGCACCAGGAAAGATACACACTGCTATGTTTGAAGATACTGAGACTAGATGTGATAAATCAGAAGTATATAAAAACAGCACTGACCACCTAAGACAGGCAGCGTCCCTTAAACAATCAATAAATAAGGAGGACTCAGATGCAGACAGCACAGACCCGGTCAGGAGGCCAAGCCCCTGTGGGCCCAAGCGTTGTTGACCGTCCAAACCATAGGCTCTGAGGATCAGACTCTAGCCACCTAGTAGACATAACAAACTGTCCCTCATCTGATTATTCAGTAATGCTTGTTAGTAATCTCATACGTGAGCCCTGGATATCCACAGACAAATGTAAAAACCTCCCCTAAAAGCCGAGACTGTAAATTCCAATAAGCCAAGTCTCCCCCCAAAAAAAAAAAAAAAAAAAAAAGTTAAAGAGGATAGAGAGAAACACTGTAAACTGATGATATATAGCGGGGATAAAAATCAATGTAATGAAACAAGCTATATGAATGGTTGAATGTGAAACTGATGATGTGCCCTGTAAACTTTCACTCAATGCAAAATAAAAACATTCAATTAAAAAAAAAAAACAAAGTAGGAAAAATAAATCTGGGAAAAGCAAAGTTATGTAGTAAAGGAAAAACCAATGCATTACATGGTTCACCTGTAAATGGAAACACAAAGCTAATAAAATCATGGTATAATCATCTTTAACCATGTGTGTGGTGGTTTTTAATGGAAACCAGGCAATGCCAGTAAGCAATTTTGTGGTGCCTAAAGGAGCTCTGGTAGCGTAGTGGTTATGAATTGGGCTGCGAACCTTAAGGTCAGCGGTTCGAAACTACCAGCTGCTCCGTGGGAAAAGATGAGGCTTTCTACTCCCGTAAAGATTTACACCCTCGGAAACCCTATACAGGGTCGCTATGGGTCGGAACTGACTCGATGGCACATAACAACAACAATACACATACATGATCTCAGGAGAAACCAGTCTTTCTCTTGAGAAGCTTATATTATAGGGTCCATTGTAATAGAAAAAGCACTTAGTACATGCCAGGCACTGCTAAGCACTTGACAATGTAATCCTAGTTGGTTGTAAGATAATTATCCTCATTTTATACATTATGAAACTAAGGTACAGATTTGCCTGAGATCATCACAGCTGTTACATGGGATAGGAGAGACATCAGATCATTTGTAGATATAGACTGATTAGTTAACTACTATTGTGACCTTAGCGAACTCTTAGTTATTGGTTCTCTATCATTTTTCTTTAAAAACTGATAAAAGGTAAATTTCCTAAGTGCTGCTTTGGCTATATCACCCAGTCTTTGATATGTACTATGTTTATACATTCCTAAAACTACCTTACCTGTCTTGTGTTCCAAGTGTTGTTAGAGTGTTCTTTAGGTGTTAGTCTCATGTACTCTTATGCTCTGGGTACCATTAATCACAGGTAAGCATTGTGATAAAGTTTTGTGTCAACTTGTAGTTTGGCAGTTGAGCTGTAGCTATTCCTTCATGCTGTGATTTGATGTGATAAATCAATAAAAGCAGTAAGGGTGTAGGATTTGTTATTGTGTGCCTTGAGTCAGTGTGACTCATAGCGAACTTTGTATGGGGTTTTCACGGAGTGGTTGGTGAGTTTGAACTATCGACCTTGTAGCTAATAGTCCAGTGCTTATAGCACCACATCAGGACTCCTTTAAGAGTTGAGATATACCACCTTAATCCCATTACCACCCTGATGGATTTATGGGAGATTCCCAAGGGTGTGGCATGCAACACCTGTTGTCTTACAAGAGATAGAAGAAGAGACACATACAGAGAGAGGGGAACCTACTACCACCAAGATAGAAGAGCTGGGAGTAGTGGAGTGTGTCCTTTGGACCTGTGAAGCTTTTAGATCCACAGGAAGATGGATGCCAAGACATACGGGAACATCCAAGGAATTTTGAGCCTATAGATGGTGAAAGTAGACAAAACCTTTCTACAGAGACCATGCTCTGAGTTTGGACTTGTAGCCTCTTAACTGTGAGAATACATTTCTGGTCATTAAAACCTTCCACCTGTGGTATTTGTTATAGCACCGTTAGATAACTAAGACAGAACTTGGTGCCAGGAGTAGGATGCTACTCTTAACAGATACTAAAATGTGGAAGCAGTGTTTGGAATTGAATTATGAGCAAATATTTGAAAAGTACTAAGCTGCCCGATACTGAAAGCCTAAATTAACTACAGAAGACTGTTTGTGGACTTGTGGATGTCGAAGACAATTCTCATGATGGCACAGAAAGAAGTGAGGAGAGTTGTAACACCAGAGATGGCGTAGATAGATGGTAAGAAGAAGCAGCAGAAAAACTGCAGCAGCAAAACCTGAAAAAACCGATAGAAGATGCATGGAAGCTGCCTCACATTTCATACAGGAGGTTTGATGGCCCAGTGAAGTGCCATTAGGCACTTGGTAAAATTAGGCTCTCTTCACCGGGATTGAGAAAGCTGATCGAATTTATAGACAGTTTCCCAAGGGTGTGACATGCAGCCTTGTATTTACAAGAGATAAAAGGAGACAGACTTGAGCAAAGAAAGAGGGACCTGCTTTTACCAAGATAGAGCCAGGAGTGGGGTGCGTCCTTTGGACCTGAGGTCCCTGCACTGTTAAGCTCTTAGATCCAGAGGAAGATTGATAGCAAGTCACATGGAGCTCTCCAAGGAATGCTGGGCCTATAGATGCTGAAAGGAGATAAGGACATTTCTCTACAGAGCCTGAGCTCTGAATTTGAACTTTTACAGCCTCCCAAACTGTGAGAGAATAAATTTCTGGTTGTTAAAACCATTCACTTGTGTTTGTTATAGCAGCACTAGGTAACTAAGACAAGCATTAAGCATTAAGAAACTGACACTTGGGAAAAGTTCAGTGGTACTTAAGGTTGCAAGTCAAGAGGCCTGGGAATTTTGTTCCAGATTGGTTGGCATCAGCATCTGTTCTGCCTTTGAGAAATATCAATTATTTGACAATTTTTTTTTCCATTCATAATTGTCATTATACATGTAGGAACATAAACACATTTTGTGCAAAATGAGTTGACATAAAAGGACATCGTCTGTTTGCTTTCTAGTACCTAGGTAAATAAATGTGTGAGGACTTGCCTTAGACATTTTTTTCTGTACTTGTGATTCTTGTTGTAAAGTTGGGAAGGGGATTAAACTTAATTTCCTTGCATTTAATGATCATACTTTTTCTATACAAAATGGTCAGTTTAGTGAGCAGAAATGTTTTTGCTTCTTGAGAATTAGTTAAATGTTTGCCTTAATAATTTGATGTATTCTGTGTCATATAAAACTTTATTTTCTTTTTGAAAGGCTACATCCATCCCAAACTTCTCTTACATGGGAGCACGCCTATGCAACTACCTGTCTCATCATCTGACAATTAACCCACAGAGTGGCAATTTCCGCCAATTGTTACTTCAAAGGTCAGTTTGAATATATGCAGTTGACGGAGATAACTTTTAAAATGTACTAGAATTTGACTGTTGCTCTTTTCTAAAAATAAGGGTGTGTTAAAGAAAGTTGAAGGAGGGCTTATATAGGGTAGACCATTCTTACCGGTAAGTTTTAAGAGTTTAAAAATTTTCTAGTACTTTTGGTTTGCTTGCCACACATTTAACACTTCTTAGAATAATCATTTGTCTATAGCTTTGAATCACCACATTTACCATACTGCATCCTTTATAAATTTGGGTTTTTATTATATTCATAGTCACCAATTCTATTCCTGTTTTATTATCATACTATTAACTTATTTTAGTTCTAATTGTTCTGTTCAGATTAATTTTCTATTTCAATTTATTTATGTCGAATCTTTGATATTCTTGAATGTTTCCCTTTTTTACCCCACCCCCAATGAACCTTAGAATTAGCATATTAAATGACAGTCTTTCTGGTATCTGTGAATACTTTCTGGGGTAATAATTGAATGAAGGTGGCACTTCACACATATATATATATAAATAAATTCTGCTGAGACAACTGACTAGCTGTTGGGGGGTGGGGAACAAAGCAAAGATAGGTTCTTGTTGTCCTTATGTCAACATTCCAAGTACATCAAAGGCTTGAATAAGACTGTAATGGTAAATACTTGGGGGAAATTGACAGAAATCTGTGGTAAAGTTCTTTTAAGCAAGTTGTGATGTTAAGTGCCATGGAGTTGATTCCAACTCATAGCCACCCTGTACATGGTTTCCAAGGCTGTGCATCTTTATGGGAACAAGCAGAAAACCTCATCTTTCTCCCGTGGAATAACTGGTAGTTTCGAACCGCTGAACTTGCGGTTCATAGCCTGATTCGTAACCACTACGCTGCCCTAAAATGAGAACAAGAAATTTAACGTGTTATTGTTGTGTGCAGTTGAGTTGATTCCAACTCATATAGTTACCCTGTAGATTATAATATTCCAGGGAAGTATAATTTTATTACATAAAAACTTATAACATGAAAATGAGCTGATTTAATACAAATAGAGCTCTCTTGAGAATGACAAGGAAAAAAGACTAGTAAAAACTTGGAGTAGTTTTGAATAGGTAACAGTCAGAAAAATAAATTACAAACTTATCAAGAGATATTTAGCCTCATCTGTATCTGAAGACTAGAATGCAATGGCTGTATATGATAAGCGCTGGACTTGGAACCAGAAAAACCAAGGTTTGAGACCACCAGTCACTATATGGAAGATGAGGCTTTTAATTCCCTGAGAAGATTTAAAGCTTTGTAAACCCAGTATAGGGTCACTGTGTTGGAACCAATTTAATGGAACTTATCGACAACATATGCATGAGAAAGCTGGACAGTGAGTAAGGAAGACTGTAGAACAATTGATGCTTTTGAGTTATGGTGTTGGAGGAGAATATTGAACGTTCATGGGCTGCCAAAAGAATCAATAGATCCGTTTTGGAAGAAGTGCAGACAAGAGTGTTCCTTGGAGGCTAAGATGGCCAAACTTTGTCTCTCATACTTCAGACATATTGTCAGGAGGGAGCAGTTGCTGGAGAAGGATATCATGTTTGGTAAGGTGGAGGGTCAGAGAAATGGGTTAGCCAAGTGGCAGCATCGATGGGCTCAACCGTGGCAACAGTAGTGAGGTTGGCCCAGGATCAGGCAATGTTTTGTTCTGCTTTGCATAGGGTCGCTATGAGTTGGTACCGACTCGATGGCACCTAACAATAACAAACAACATAATTATTTATAGCTACTGGAAAAGAGACACAAATGGGTTATTTCTAGAAAGTAGGATGGCAGAATGGCTCACTTATATTCACCAGTGCTGCTGGCTGTACTTTAGAGACACTTGTTGTTAAGTCAGTTCCAACTCATAACTACCCTGTACAGGGTTTCCAAGGACCAGCTGGTGGGTTTGCACTGCTAACCTTGTGGTTCAAAGTCTAGTGCTGATCTTAATAGTGGTGCACCAGGAGCCCCTTAGAGTCTTTAAATAGGGTTCAGACCGTATCCCCAACCTTTGGAATTTGCATGTGATCAGACTGAAATAGCCATTTTAAAGCTCCCCAAGTGGTCCTCCCCAAAAGAAACTATGGTGGATAAACCACCCTTCTTATTCTCTTTGACTTTTTACCCCTGTATGTGCTTCTATAGCACTTTAGTCTGTCAAAAGATTTTAGCATAGCGAAACGGCAATTACATAACTAGTGAAACCCAAAAGTCATTGCCCTGGAGTGGACTCACAGCAACCATATGACAGAGTAAAACTGCCCTATAGGGTTTTCAAGATTGTCATCTTTACTGATGCAGACTGTCACATCTTTCTCCCATAGAGTGGCTTTGTTAAGTGCCATCAAGTCGGCTCCGACCCATAGCAACCCTGTATAGGGTTTCCAAGGAGTACATCTGGTGAGGTTGATCTGCTGACCTTGCAGTTCAAACTGACTTTTCAGTACAGCACATGAGCCCACAGTGCCACACAGGGTTCCAGTGAGTGATGGGTGGGTTCGAAATAACCTTTTGGTTAGCAGCCAAGTGCTTTACTACGGCACCATCAGGGTTCCTTAGCAAGTGAGAAGGAGGGCCTAATTCTAGGTACCTCATTTAAAAAAAAAAAAAAAGTGCCATCAAGTTGGTTCCAACTCATAGTGACCCTATATAGATTTTCCAAGGAGTGGCTGGTGAGCTTGAACCACCAACCTTGATGTTCAGGTGACTTTGCTGTCCAGCACATTAACCCACAGCGCACTTGCACGCACACTCACTCTCTTCTCTCGCTCTCTCGCTCTCTCGCTCTATATATATGAAAGAAACAGGAAGTTCCCTCCCAGCCCTTATGTCAGGTAACTTGTTACTTTGTTGGTTTTTCATATTTCTGTTTTAATCCTTCTGAAATAAGCATCTATTGCTTTTATCATTGAAAATTCTGAACTTAAAAAGGTTTTAGGATGTTTTTTTACTCAGGCAATCAGCGATGTACAGGAGAGGAATTTACTTTTTGCACATACATTGTTATGCACAACATTGTTGTGGTTATCTGAAGTTAGCCTCAACTCCTAGCCATCTGTGTGTACGACAGAATGAAACCCTGCCCAATCCTTCCCCTTCCTTACATTGGTTGCTATGTTTGAGCTCAGTGTTAGAGCTATTGTCAGTTCATCTTGTTAAGGGTCGTCTATTTGTCTCCCCATTTTCTTCTTGCTTGCATGGTTTCTGTTGAGAGATCCGAGCTTAATCTAATTTGCTTGCCTTTGTATGTTATACTTTCTCTTTTCCCTAGCTGCTTTCAGGATTTTGTCCTTTGATTTTGGAGAACTTGGTTATTATGTCTTGGTGATTTTCTTTTAGGATATATCCATCCTGTGGTTCTTGAATGCTTATCTTTTAACTTTTCAGGATGTTAGGGAAATTTTCTTCTAGCAGCTCTTCAACTATCTCTGCTGTGCACTTGCCTGAATGTTCCTGTTCCAGAATGCTGATAATTCTTAAGTTATTCTTCTTCATGTTGTCCAACATGAGTCTTAGACCTTCTTCAGATTTTTAAATCCTTTTTTCTGCTTGCTCTTCTCTCTTGGTAGTACTGAGAGATATGTCTTCCATCTCACTAGTTCTGGCTTCCATCGCTTCAATTCTACTTCTTTGCCCTTTCAGTGTATTGTCCATTTCTGATACTCTATTAATTGTTTGGACCTCTTTCTGTAGGTTTTGAATTGTTTCCAGTGCTGTATCTATCTTATTTGATTGTTCCTGGAGTGCTTACCTGATTTCTTCCTTGTTTTGTCAACTCCATTGTGAAACATTTTCATTTTTTGAATTTCCTTCTCAGGCATTTCCAAAGCCTGCCTAACTTCCAGTGTAGATCTACCTCCAACTCATTTGTCTCAGTCACTTTATCTTGTTTCTGGACATGTGCTGATATAGTCATCTGTTTCTGTTTTGGGGGCATATTCAGTAGTTAGCTGTGGCCTTAATACTTACATGGATTTTTGGTTTGGTATTTTTTATGCTTTCTGATTGCCTCCAGGTAGATGTGATCAAGACATGGGCTTCCCTTTTCACTCTTAGAAATTTCAAGATGCGACTATTGGTCATTATGAGTTAACTCAGAATTTAATTTTGAGCCTGTTTCCTTTTTAGTCTGCTTATCCACCCCACAACCCCCAATCAGGCCTTTTTCTTAGTGATAAACAGTTCAGGGCCAGCTGTGACTGTTTTGCGCTACCCTTTGGTTTTAAGTAGAAACTGTCCCTTTAAATTTTGTGCAGGCATAATAGAACCTTGTGGGGGTGGGATGGAAATGGGGTGTTCACTAGCTCAGGCACCCCTTCTAGTCTCCAGAGTGGAGATGCACAGATAGCAGGAGACCAATGAACAGATACAAAAGAAAGAATGTCCACACCTCTTTATTCATGGTTCTGTCAGGGGTCTTTGGCTGCTCTGATCCTTCCCTTGTTCGGTCTCAACCAAGGTGGCCGTGCTGGGAACACCTGAGCACCTTGTATTAGAAAGCACTGGAATTCTTGTTTCTGCTACAATTTATACTGGCTGTAAGCCTTGCACCTGTCTAAATATTCTGTTATATGTGGTTCAGAGTTCTGGGACCATCTCCTGAGCCTGCTTGGTCCTGTACTCTGTGTTGTTGCTGGTGGAGCTCCGCACTGCACTCTTCCCCGATCTGCCATCTTCTTTATCTCCTTTGATTTCTTGACTCCTTCTTCCATGAGTGTTGACAGTTGATTCAAGAAGTACCTTGACAACTTTTCTTTTCTCCATTGATAAGAATATGTTTATTGGTCTAGTGGTGAGGATTTTTGTTTTCTTTACATTGAGATGTGGTCCATACCATAGACTGTTGTCTTTGATCTTTATCAGGAAGTATTTTAAGTCTTCTTCACTTTCAGCAAGCAAGGTTGTATCATCTGCTTATTGCAGTCTGTTAATGAGTGTGTTTTCCTTCATATAACCATGAAAGAAACCTGATGCCATGTTTTCCTTCATATAACCCAGCTTTTTGGATTATTTACTTAGTATATAGGTTGAATAAGTATCATGAAATAATACAACTGCATCACACGCCTTTATTTTAAATGATTCAGTGTTCCCATGTTCTGTTTGAACAATTGCCTTTTGGTCCATGTACAGATTCCTCATGAGCACAAAGAAATGTTCAGGAATATTCATACTTCGCAATGTTGTCCGTAGCTTGTGATGATCCACACAATCGAAAGCCTTTGTGTAGTCAGTAAAACACAGGTAACCATCTTTCTGGTATTCTCTGCTTTCAGCCAAGATCTCTCTGACATAAGCAATGATATCCCTCATTCCACGTCCTCTTCTGAATCCTACTCAAACCTCTGGAAGTTCTCTGTCAATGTATGCTTGCTGCCGTTTCTGTATTACCTTTAGTAAAACTTTATTCGCACGGAATATCAAAGATAATTGTCTGATTTCTGCATTCCGTTGGGTCACCTCTCCTTGGAATGGGCACAAATATGGATCTCTTCCAATCAGTTAGCCAGATAGTTGTCTTCTAAATTTCTTGACATAGATAAGTAAGTACCTCCTGTGCTGCCTCACTTTCTTTTAAAGATTTCAGTTTTTATTCCATCAATTCCTGGTGCCTTGTTCTTTGCCAATTCCTTCAGTGCACCTTCAGTATCATTGGCTTTTGGTCATATGCTACTTCTTGAAACAGTTGAACATCAACCATTTCCTTTTGGTACAGTGATTCTCTATATTCCTTCCACCTTCTTTTGATGCATTCTGCATCATTCAGTAATTTGCCCAAAGAATCCTTCAGTAACAAAAGTCGGGGCTTGAATTTTGTCTTCATTTCCTCCAGCTTGTTGACTGCTTGGTGTGTTCTTTCCCTTTTGGTTTTCTGACTCCAGATCTTTGTACATTATGTTATATTATTTGACTTTTCTTCTTAAGCTCACCTTTGAAATTTTCTGTTCAGCTCTTGTACCTCCTCATTTCTTCCATTTGCTTTAGCATATCTATACTGGAGAGCAAGTTTCAGTGTCTCTTCTGACATCCATTTTGACCTTTTCCTTCTGTCTCGTTTTCTTAATGGCTTTTTGCTTTCTTCCTGTATGATGTTCTTGATGTAATTCCATAACTCTTCTGGTCTTTGGTCCTTAATGTTTAATGTATTAAATCTGTTCTTCAGATGATCTCAATTCAGGTGGGATATATTCAAGGTCATATTTTGGCTCTCATGGACTTGTTTTCATTTTCTTCAGCTTTAGTCTGAATTTGCATATGAGCAGTTGATGGTCTGTTCCACAATATGCCCCTATTATTGTTTTTGCTGATGATATGGAACATTTCCACCATCTCTGTCCAAAGATGTAGTCAATTTGATTTTGGTATATTCCATCTGGTGAGGTCCGTGTGTATAATCATCTCTTATGCTATCTAAAGGAGGTATTTGAAATGAAAAACTCATTGGTTTTGCAGAATTTTATCATGCGATCTCCAACATCATTTCTGTCACCAAGGCCATATTTTCCAACTACTGATTCTTCCTCTTTGTTTCCAGCCTGTGCATTCCATCACCAGTAATGATCAATACGTCTTGATGGCATGTTTGATCAATTTCAGATGAAAGAAGTTGCTATAATTCTATAGTATCCTCACTGGTTTTAGTGGTTGGTATGTAAATTTGAATAATAGTGGTATTAACTGGTCTTCCCTGTAGGTGCATGGATCCTATCACAGACATTAAACCTCATGACTGATCTTGATAACGTTCCTTTTTACAATGAATACAACACCATTACTCTTCAATTTTTCTATTCCCGTCATAGTATGTCAAATTCAGAATGGCCAATACTAGTCCATTTCAGCTCACTAATGCCTAAGACATCGGTGTTTATGCGTTCCATTTCATTTTTGACAATTTCCAATTTTTCTAGGTTCATACTTCGTACATTCCATGTTCTGATTATTAATGGATGTTTACAGCTGTTTCTCTTCATTTTGGGTTGTGCCCCATCAACAAATGGCAGTCCCAAGGACTTTACTCCATTTGCGTCATCACGGTCAACTCTACTTTGAGGAGACAGCTCTTTCCCAGTCGCATTTTGAGTGCTTCCAACCTGAGGGGCTCATTTTCCAGTGCTATATCTGAAAGTGTTTCTCTGCTGTTCATAAGGTTTTCAGTGACTAAATATTTGGAAGTAGATTGTCTCTCCTTCCTAGCCTGTCTTTTTCTGGAAGCTCATTTGAAACCTGTCCACTATGGGTGACCCTGCTGGTATTTAAAATACCCGTGGCATAGCTTCCAGAATTACAGCAACTCACAAGGTGCCACAGTACGACAAACTGACAGATGAGTGGTGATTTTTGTACATTAAGATATGTTAAACACTGTCGAGTCCATTCTCACTCATAGGTCCCTGTACGGGGTTTCCAAGGAGCAGCTGGTTGGTTTGAACTGCCATCCTTGTGGTTCACAATCCAATACTTACTATCCTATAATATCACACCAAGAATCTGATAGCCATGTTGTTGTTGAGTGCCATAGAATCATTTTGTCTCATAGTGACCCTTTGTAGGGTTTCCGGGAGCAGCTGGTGAGTTTGAACCACCAGCCTTGCAGTTCAAACCTGGCCTTGTGTTCCAGTGCTTAACTTACAGCACCACACCAACACTCCTGTGATACCCATGTTGTTGTTAAGTGCCATCAAATCTGTTCTGACCCATACAACCTTGTATAGGGCTTCCGAGGAGCAGCTAGTGAGTTTGAACTGCCAATCTTGTGGTTCAAACTGATTTGCAATCCAAGAATAAAAAGGGGGTCATTTAAAAAACCCATATATTCAGAGTTATCAGTGAAAGGCCAGAGAAAGAGCAGTCCACAAGGTGCTTGGATAACTGAGTTGGCATTAATTTACACAGCCTTTCCATTATTAATTAGGGTGTTCTATCTATAGATATCCAGACTTTTTTCCTGATGAGGAGCTAATTTAATATGTATGCTGAGGTAATAAATATCTTACTATATCTGACTTGAAAATAAGGTTTTGTATTTGGTATAGTCTTGCATGTATTAGAATTAGCTACATAGGCAGTGTAAGTGTCAGCTGAGTGTATGGTTGGTTCACAAAACTGCCAACAAAATCTTGAACAAGATAATGATTTCTTTAGAAAATTATTTTTAATGAAACTGGACTATTAACCACAAGGTCAGTAGTTGGAATCTACCAGGTGCTTCCCTAGAGAAAGATTTACCGCCTCAGAGACCGTACAGGGTTGCTGAGTTGGAACCAACTCCATAGCACACAACCACCACTACCAAACTGGGACCCTGTTGTATGGAAGTCATTTAGCTTCCATAGACACCATAAGCAAATTACTTTTATCAGTTTTCTCAAAGATGAGGAAATAATAGTAACATGAGCAACTTCTAGAGACCATTTAAAATTCGTTTAGTAACATGTTAAGTGCTGTCAAGTCAGGTCCGTACCGTAGCGACCCTGTATACAGTTTCCGAGGAGTAGCTAGCAGCAGGCGCTGTAATACACCAATGGAATAAACAAGCTTATTGTGATTATTTTAGATACTCTGTAGGAAATATATTAAACTCTAAATCGATATTTATTATCTGTGTTAGGCAAATGGACAAGTCAGGGAGCAAATCAAGCGAAAATTAGTTACTTGAAATGACAGCAAATCTGTTCGAAAGAGAAATGAAATGAATTGCTTTCTTGTTGTGAATTAAGTAAATTTTTTCCACATGAACACATCTTGGATTTCTTTAATGGAAATTACAAAGATAAAGAACTTTAAATTCATTTTCTATTCGGCTTAGGTGGATGCCATGTATAATATATTAAAGGTCTGTTTCAGAGTTCTTAATATTCAGAAAGAGTAAAAAATGTTTAAAGTGACAATTAGATTCGACACAGTGCTTTCTTAACAAACAGAAAAAAAGGGTTAATTAAGGAAATAACTTTTTTTTCCCCGCTTTCTGATGCCCATATACTTAGGAATCTCATGAAATCCATGTTTCATATATTTAACATATAAACTTGATATGATCATCTTGTTTGACTATTGCAAAAACAGAGCAATATAAGGTTATAAAAGGTATGTCTTTATTAGATGTCGGACTGAATATGAAGTTAAAGATCAAGCTGCAAAAGGAGATGAAGTGACTCGAAAACGATTTCATGCATTTGTACTCTTTCTGGGAGAACTTTATCTTAACCTGGAGGTGAGGAGACAGTTTTCTTACATGCTGATGAGACCTGAGACTATGAATTGGTTTCAATAAGGAGTTATGATCACATATTACTGTGGCAACATTTAAGAATGAAATGAGAAGGGGGTAGTGGAACTAAAAACAAATGTCTTAGTACCTACTCATGGTCGTATGTGTACTCTCATAGAATGCTTAAGTTTTGAAATAACTTTTTTAAGTCTTGATATCATATAATTATTTAGTATGTTGACTTTTAAATGGTAGCCCAAACTAACTTATTCTACAGAGAGAGGAGGACAGAGACTAGAGTTTCTGACTGTTCACCATAATTCACACAGAGCAGTTGTCGGCCCTATTTTCTGTATTCATCTTTCTTTCACATAAAATGTTTGTACAAGGTAGACAGCTAAATGTTTCTATATTGGTGGTGGTATACATGACGGGTTTAAGTTTTAGTGTTGAACATTACTGTGAAAGGACTTGCATGATTTTTTATACCTTCTTAAAATCCAATTTGAAGAGTTAATACCATTAAAACTACTGACAATGTCTGAAGCCACTATCAAATATAACATCTCGGTGCACGTAAAAAAAAGGTTTTTGTCCAACAAAATCTAGAGCTTTACTTACTATTCAGTAGTAGATTTAATTTTTTCAAAAGTTTGTGTGTAAAAATTTAGTATAAATCTTATATGATCCAAAATAAGAGCACAATCTAAATGTTGTAAATATGCCTCAAATAATGAGTAATTTTAAAAATGTTATTGAGAGGCAGCATCCCTTAAACAAATAATAAATAAGGGGGAATCTGATGCAGACCGTGCAGACCCGGTCAGGAGTTCAAGTCCCCGTGGGCCCAAGCGTTG